TACCTTAGCGATACCTTAGCAATACCTTAGCAATACCTTAGCGATACCTTAGCAATACCTTAGCGATACCTTAGCGATACCTTAGCGATACCTTAGCGATACCTTAGCGATACCTTAGCAATACCTTAGCGATACCTTAGCGATACCTTGGCAATACCTTAGCAATACCTTAGCAATACCTTAGCAATACCTTAGCGATACCTTAGCAATACCGTAGCGATACCTTAGCAATACCTTAGCGATACCTTAGCGATACCTTAGCGATACCTTAGCAATACCTTAGCAATACTTTAGCGATACCTTAGCAATACCTTAGCGATACCTTAGCAATACCTTAGCGATACCTTAGCAATACCTTAGCGATACCTTAGCAATACCTTAGCGATACCTTAGCGATACCTTAGCAATACCTTAGCGATACCTTAGCGATACCTTAGCAATACCTTAGCAATACCTTAGCGATACCTTAGCAATACCTTAGCGATACCTTAGCGATACCTTAGCAATACCTTAGCGATACCTTAGCGATATATCACCTTAGCAATACCTTAGCGATACCTTAGCGATACCTTAGCAATACCTTAGCGATACCTTAGCGATACCTTAGCAATACCTTAGCGATATACCTTAGCGATACCTTAGCAATACCTTAGCGATACCTTAGCGATACCTTAGCGATACCTTAGCAATGCCTTAGCGATACCTTAGCAATACCTTAGCGATACCTTAGCGATACCTTAGCAATACCTTAGCGATACCTTAGCAATACCTTAGCGATACCTTAGCAATACCTTAGCGATACCTTAGCGATACCTTAGCAATACCTTAGCGATACCTTAGCAATACCTTAGCGATACCTTAGCGATACCTTAGCGATACCTTAGCAATACCTTAGCGATACCTTAGCGATACCTTAGCGATACCTTAGCGATACCTTAGCGATACCTTAGCAATACCTTAGCGATACCTTCGCAATACCTTAGCGATACCTTCGCAATACCTTAGCGATACCTTAGCAATACCTTAGCGATACCTTCGCAATACCTTAGAGGTACCTTGCAATACCTTAGCGATACCTTAGCAATACCTTAGCGATACCTTAGCGATACCTCAGAGATACCTTAGCGATACCTTAGAGATACCTTAGCAATACCTTAGCGATACCTTAGCGATACCTTAGAGATACCTTAGCAATACCTTAGAGATACCTTAGCAATACCTTAGCGATACCTTAGCGTATAGAGATACCTCAGCGATACCTTTGCAATACCTTAGCGATACCTTCGCAATACCTTAGCGATACCTTAGCAATACCTTAGCGATACCTTAGCAATACCTTAGCGATACCTTAGAGATACCTTATAGCGATACCTTAGCGATACCTTAGCGATACCTTAGCGATACCTTAGCGATACCTTAGCAATACCTTAGAAATACCTTAGCGATACCTTAGCAATACCTTAGCGATACCTTAGCGATACCTTAGAGATACCTTAGAGATACCTTTGCGATACCTTAGAGATACCTTAGAGATACCTTAGAGATACCTTAGCGATACCTTAGCGATACCTTAGCCATACCTTAGCGATACCTTAGCGATACCTTAGCGATACCTTAGCAATACCTTAGCGATACCTTAGCGATACCTTAGAGATACCTTAGCAATACCTTAGCGATACCTTAGCGATAGCTTAGAGATACCTTAGCAATACCTTAGCGATACCTTAGCGATACCTTAGCGATACCTTAGCGATACCTTAGCGATACCTTAGAGGTACCTTAGCGATACCTTAGCGATACCTTAGCGATACCTCCTTAGCGATACCTTAGCGATACCTTAGCGATACCTTAGCGATACCTTAGCGATACCTTAGCGATACCTTAGAGGTACCTTAGCGATACCTTAGCGATACCTTAGCGATACCTTAGAGGTACCTTAGCGATACCTTAGCGATACCTTAGTGAGACCTTGAGGTCACCTTAGCGATACCTTAGCCTACCTTAGCGATACCTTAGCGATACCTTAGCGATACCTTAGCGATACCTTAGAGATACCTTAGCGATACCTTAGCGATACCTCCTTAGCTATACCTTACCGATACCTCAGAGATACCTTAGCAATACCTTAGCGATACCTCCTTTGCGATACCTTAGCGATACCTCAGAGATACCTTAGCAATACCTTAGAGATACCTTAGCGATACCTTAGCGATACCTTAGCGATACCTTAGAGATACCTTAGCAATACCTTAGCGATACCTTAGCGATCTCTTAGCGATACCTTAGCGATACCTTAGCGATACCTTATAACGATACCTTAAAGATACCTTAGCGATACCTTAGAGATACCTTAGCGATACCTTAGCGATACCTTAGCGATACCTTAGCGATACCATAGCGATACCTTAGCGATACCTTAGCAATACCTTAGCGATACCTTAGCGATACCTTAGCGATACCTTAGCGATACCTTAGCGATACCTTGATACCTTAGCGATACCTTAGAGATACCTTAGAGATACCTTAGCGATACCTTAGCGATACCTTAGCGATACCTTAGCGATACCTTAGCGATACCTTAGCGATACCTTAGCGATACCTTAGCGATCGATACCTTAGCGATACCTTAGCGATACCTTCGCGATACCTTAGCGATACCTTAGCGATACCTCAGAGATACCTTAGCGATACCTTAGCGATACCTTAGAGACACTTTAGCGATACCTTAGCGATACCTTAGCGATACCTTAGCGATACCTCAGAGATACCTTAGCAATACCTTAGCGATACCTTAGCGATACCTTAGAGATACCTTAGCAATACCTTAGCGATACCTTAGCGATACCTTAGCGATACCTTAGCGATACCTTAGCGATACCTTAGAGATACCTTAGCGATACCTTAACGATACCTTAGCGATACCTTGCCGATACCTTTCAATACCTTAGCAATACCTTAGAGATACCTTAGCGATACCTTAGCGATACCTTTGCGGTACCTTAAAGATACCTTGGAGATACCTTAGCGATACCTTAGCGATACCTTAGCGATACCTTAGCGATACCTTAGCGATACCTTGGCGATACCTTATAGCGATACCTTAGAGAAACCTTAGAGATACCTTAGCGATACCTTAGCGATACCTTAGCGATACCTTAGCGATACCTTAGCAATACCTTAGCAATACCTTAGCGATACCTTAGCGATACCTTAGCGATACCTCAGAGATACCTTAGCGATACCTTAGCGATACCTTAGCGATACCTTCTCGATACCTTACCAATACCTTAGCGATACCTCTTAGCGATACCTTAGCGATACCTTAGAGATACTTTAGCAATACCTTAGCGATACCTTAGCGATACCTTAGCGATACCTTAGCGATCTCTTAGCGATACCTTAGCGATACCTTAGAGATACCTTATAACGATACCTCAGCGATACCTTAGAGATACCTTAGAGATACCTTCGAGATATCTTAGAGATACCTTAGAGATATCTTGGGAGATACCTTAGAGATACCCCAGAGATACCTGAGAGATACCTTAGCGATACCTTAGCGATACCTTTGCGATTACCTTAGAGATACCTTAGCGATACCTTTGCCGTACCTTAGCGATACCTTAGCGATACTTTAGAGATACCTTAGAGATACCTTAGAGATACCTTAGAGATACCTTAGCGATACCTTAGCGATACCTTAGCGATACCTTAGCGATACCTTAGCGATACTTTAGCGATACCTTAGCGATACTTTAGCGATACCTTAGCGATACCTCCTTAGCTATACCTTAGCGATACCTCAGAGATACCTTAGCAATACCTTAGCGATACCTCCTTTGCGATACCTTAGCGATACCTCAGAGATACCTTAGAGATACCTTACAGATACCCTAGAGATACCTTAGAGATACCCTAGAGATACCTTAGAGATACCTTAGAGATACCTTAGAGATACCTTAGAGATACCTTAGAGATACCTTAGAGATACCTTAGAGATACCTTAGAGATACCTTAGAGATACCCTAGAGATACCTTAGAGATACCTTAGAGATACCTTAGAGATACCTTAGAGATACCTTAGAGATACCTTAGAGATACCTTAGAGATACCTTAGAGATACCTTAGAGATACCTTAGAGATACCTTACAGATACCTTACAGATACCCTAGAGATACCTTAGAGATACCCTAGAGATACCTTAGAGATACCTTAGAGATACCTTAGAGATACCTTAGAGATACCTTAGAGATACCTTAGAGATACCTTAGAGATACCTTAGAGATACCTTAGAGATACCTTAGAGATACCTTAGAGATACCTTAGAGATACCTTAGAGATACCTTAGAGATACCTTAGCGATACCTTAGAGATACCTTAGAGATACCTTAGCGATACCTTAGAGATACCTTAGAGATACGTTAGAGATACCTTAGCGATACCTTAGCGATACCTTAGAGATACCTTAGTTGATCTGTTCATGATGTGGTGCACATGCTGCCTGATTTCTGCTGTCCGAAGGCACAGCCAGCTCAGCTTCTGAGCCATCAACCTAGGAACAGAGAAACAGAGAATCTCAATGCAGGCAGTAATAAATGGTTAATTCTTCACATCAATAATGGCTAGCAATAAGATCAATCTTGGGTAATTGTTCACATCTCGGAGATGTAGGGGACCAGCTGAAGACATGCGCCGGGCGCATGGCTGGACATGCCTGATGTCAGCATTGTGTTTGAAGAAGGAATGTCGAGAAATTGCATTTAAGCAATGTGAAGTAATTTGCATCAGACAAGACTCTCGCTGCATGATCGATCTCAGTGAGTGCAATCGCAATTTTCTACTGAAGTGGACAATAAGACTTATGCAAGCCACCGGAATTCTCACGCACATGTATGCAGGATAACAGGACAGGAGTTTGGCACCTTGGATGTGACAATACCAGTTCTAAGAAAACACCAAACCGTACCAAACCGTACCAAACTTCTCCTGACTGGCTGACCAAACTGCAGGAAAAAGACAGCACACACAATGATGAAGTTAATGGGCAACGGGACAGGGGCAACAGGGGCAACAAGAACGGGAAGACGTGAGGCGCGTGAGGCGCTGAGCCTCAGCCTACTCTGACTCAGCGATTTGACAACCTTGGAAATTCAGTCGGGGGGCCAAAGAACCCAGGCATGTTGGTGCTTCGAATTCAAAAGATTTGAAAAGGACAATCAGGTTATGTTTATCTTTTCTATCTGAATTTGCTTGGACTTAGGAATCCGACTCTAAAAGCGCTCCATCGTTGTGGCCATAGTCCACGGCTTATTGCAGGCATCAGGATGCTGGTTCTTTACGGTTTTTCAAATGCAGTTCAGCCATTCAGTGCCAGTGTCTATCACTTCAATCGAATCTTTGTCCACATGTCTACGTCTCTTGATGGAGTTCTGGTCGCAAGGCTGTTCATATATGCTCGATCGTTCATTTTCATAACGGGGCCTGAAAATCCTGAAAGAGTATCATCATTTCCACAGCTTTTTTGTGCACATGTCCGCCGTCTACTGCCCATAGCATGTCTCGGTGTCATGATCTCAACAGCTCGGCCACTCAAGTCAACCAGCAATGAAATGCAATGAATGGGTATCCCAAAGACATCTTTCTACACGCAACATATGCAGAATGCCACGATGCGACAAAGACCAGCTTGACTCTTTGAAGTCTTTTTCATCGGCAGTGCTTTTCACCAGCCGAAGTCGAACTCCAGAAATCATCAGGACCTGAGATCTTAAAAGATACTTCAAATGACAGACCCGAAGTAACACGTGATAACAAGACGACCGAGAGACCTAGTAGGTATGTAGCATACATCCGGACATTGTCAGTTACTAGTGCTTAACTAGTGCTTACCAGTGACATCCAGTGACAACATACTCAGACTGCACTGAGCCTCCAGCTGTGCCTTGCGTATGATTTGCTGAAGAATAAGTTGTTCATCAAGGGCAAGAGCCTGGATGGCGCAGCGGCTTGACAATTGAAACATATTCAAATCACCACGCACGCCAACGATACACAACGATTGTACGGAGAAACTTTTGGGCTGAGGCAAAACGAAAAATCCGCTTTCAAACTGGATGGTTGCCATGGTCGAAATACTCAAATGACTAGCCCCTACGAGTAGTTTCCAAAAACGGCACGTTGCCTGCTTTTGTTCGGAATCCTTGAAAGCTCCATTGGCTGTTTCTCAGTTTAGTGCGTTTTGGGAACTTGCCTTATCAACTGGTGGCAACAAGGAGATATCAGCACCAGCATCGATTGCGGTTTGCATCACCTGCAAGAAAAGTGACTACGCAGCAATGCTCCTGCTCAACATTGTCATCATTGTCACATAGGACCCTCTCTGTTTCTTATTTTGTCAAGTCAATTGGAAGAAGAAAGTGCCTCGTTCTCCATTTCCTCATCCTCTTGCTTTTCTCTCTCCAGAAGCATCTGAACCATTTGTGGACTGCCCTGCAAAACGAGAGCAGTGATTCGGGTTGTTTAAAATCGTCTGATCATCAAATGCCACAAGAAATTCGTGAACATTTGTTTCTTGTAAATGGAATTGCAGCTCTCTTCAATATCTTCTGCAATCCTGATGCCACCATAGTTTCTGCAAATGCCTCCAAGATCGCCATGTCCGTCACGGAAAGACCGTTTTGATCTTGACAAAGGACACTCGCCTGCATAAGAAGTGAATTGATGCTTCTTTCAAATGTGTGCTTGACTTTCAGACTGAGTCTGCAAAAAAGCTTGAATCAGCTGTCATAGGGAGACTCTGATCAGCCTTGGCGTTGACCAAAAGCCTTGCAACCTCATGGGTAGTAGATGGTATGAGTAGGAGCCAGTCGAAGGAAACCTTTGAGATGCAGGCATCGAGTCGACTAAATATGACTGCCACCATCAGAGCTGAAACGCCTCAGAATCTCAGTACAACATGGCACAACATGGCACAACTTGGTGCAACTTGGTGCAACTGGTCAAGCATATTAGCATCTAGCAGAATCATGCAGAATCTAGCACTTGCCCTCGTCATGCCTCATCGTTTCACGTGGATCCTGCCTGTGTTGGTCTGTGCATCAACTTCAGCTTTGCACTCGATCAAGGCCGTACATGCCTGCGGTCGACCCGTAAAAGGATGAGATGTTCGAGCCAGAAATCATGTACATTTGTTGAAATAAATGCTGCAAAACATTGCAAGGACTACTGCATGGCAAAGCTGTCCTTCAGCAATCCAAGACGAACAGCAAAATGTAACGGTTGGGCACCGATCGTTTGCCTCAGGGCTAGTTTGCCAAGTTCATGACGCATTTTTCCAAATGAGACGCAATGACACGCAATGCCCTCTTCCTGTGAAGCCAGGCTTGAAATTTCCAAATCCAGGATCCCACCTCAGCCCACGCGACTGGTGTTTTGATTCGCTTCGAAGTTCGATGAGTTTTCATTCTAAGATGCGGAGGTAATGAGTTCTCTTTTAAAGAAAACACAAAAACATTTTCTGGGAGCATAAGCAGACTCGTGTCGACTTACCGCCGTGGCTCGTGTGCGCCTGTACTGGCCTACTTAGAAAAAGCGACATACGAACATGCCATGCAATGGTCTTACTTAGCTGCAGTGTATAATCAAATGATATCAAATGTTTTGTTACCATTATATCTAAATCATTCTAAACTTGATTGTTGGTTCAGTGTCGAAACTGCCTCTTTAGACAACTTGGAGCACATGTGCACCCAAGCATGCTCTCACATGAAATCCTCGAAATGCTTGCTATCACCACTGACTTCAGGTGCTATTGAATCTCAGTCAGCAACAACCCCAAACACATCCCCACCTGCCAGGTGAGGGTCTCTCGATTTTGACAGAACTTCAGACACCCAGCCACCCACCCGACACCCACCCGACGCCCACCCACACACCATATCATTCCCAGCTTCTCTGCCATCCTCATGTTGACCATTCTATGGCCTGCCAGCTCTCTGGGGCTAGCCAGCTAGATAGAAATAGAATGTCAGTACGTGAGAATTTATGACGGACAAGATGTCATATAGAATACTATAGAACTATAGAACGTAAGAATATTTATACGCCACCGTGGGGATGACACGAAGTAAATTGCTGTTGGGAGTGAAGATGACAAGAGACGAGAGTCAGACTGACATTGCTTCAGTTCTTCGGCCATTGCTCATCTCCTTGGAATCCGGCGGCTCTTTTAGCCTTTCATTGATGTCAATCCCGGACCTGATGATCTGCACCTGAACTGTGAAACACTGGCAAAACATCAGGCCGAACACCAGGAACATCAAGCAGGTCATCACAGCAACAAGCGACCCACCACCATCTTTTCTGTGTGACCTTTCCTCAGCGAGCAGCTCGACATGGAACATGATGAAACTCACAGTGGCTGATGGCATTCCAAGGCAGCTGCCATTTGCTGGTCAAGGCTTGAAGCAGTTGGCCGGGACCATCATTCCTTGGAACAAGCCACTGCCTTGAGGTCCTGCGATCCCCATGTGTTTCAGCAAGGAATTGCAACCCAGAGGAAATTTGGACATGTGTTTTTTCTCAAGCAAATAGCGAACAATATCGAACAATATAAACTGAATGGATTTAGCAGCTCAACAATGCTTAGCAATGCTTGGCAGCTTTGGGGCTCCTAAAATCGTGGTACCCCCAAATCATCCAAGATCATCCAGTCGTCATGGATGACCATGACTTAATATTGAAACCATAACTGAAACCATAACTGAAACCCATGGTGACGACTGGGGACCCATTTTTTGACCCATTTTTTGATCCATGACTTAAGAAACCCCGGACCAAGCTGCTGGTGGCTTGACACTTCGATATCCTCCGAGCTCTCGGACTCGGTCTCCGAGTCAGATCCCTGGAGAAATTGCACGTGGCTATGGCACTAGACAAAGGTTTTAAGGATATGATTTTAACGATATAAATATATATATATATTACATTATTTTATTTTATTTTATATTATATTATTGTATTATAATGTATTATATATGTTATTTTACTATATTATATGACACTAAATTCTATTATATTATATGATACTATATTATACTATATTTTATCATATTGTGTTATACTATATTATACATATAATAATATATATATATATTATAATATGTCTAATTATATTATTATTATCATTCATGATTCTGATTTTCACCCTAAGTGCAAACGGTTCTGTGCAAACCGCAGATGCAAGACTCGCATGACACGTTGGGCCTCTTCGTTACTCTCGGAACGAGTAGGTCCTCCCAGCCCATTGCGCCTCGATTCACTTGTTATCATTTCAAAGGCACTTTTTCAAATCGGTTCAAGTCGTTTGAAATGTGGCCAGCTTTGTCCAGCTCATGAAATCTTAGCTCGCCTTTTCAGGGTCCACGAGCTTGTGCCCCTGCCATCAGTCACTGCACTGGAAAGCAACAAGACTGCTACACCAGACTTTGATACGTCGGCATCGGCAAATATATATATATATGCAAATATTGTTTAATAATTTAATACATACATGCAGAATTAATACAGTACATGTTAATACATTTTAATACGCGTTTTGCAATGGCGGGCTGAAGCAACGAGGTTTCTTTGCGTCCCAAGACAAGGCCGAAGTTGTGGCAGGCCGTAGACTCACAATCCGTTGGTTTGCCGCCTTTCCACTGCCTTTCCGCTGCCTTTCTGTCTTCTTTCATATTGTTTATGTTTCTCTCCGTTTCTCTTCGTGTGGCATCAAGTTTGGGTGAGTCCCTGCCTCTCTGCGTCTCGGGCTCTACCATCACCTTTCTCCTGCCAGTGAAGCAGATCTTGAAGTGACAATGAATCTAATGGGTAACAAACACGGGACCCGGCAGGTGAACAACACAATACAATCTGTTCATATCTAAATATTCTATTTGCTTTTCGATGCTCACCAGATTACCAAGGTTTCTCGCGTACCCATTGCCTTGCTCCAAATGCTGCAAAAAATGAGGGAAGGTCAACTACCATGTCCTGATCCTCAGGCATCTGAAGATTCAAGCAGTATCCTGCCACTATTCAAGTTTGAGTCTGCCTCAGATCATATCTACAAACATCTAAGAACCTAGTGAAACAAAGAGCCTGCAACATGTACAACAGATTACAACAGATGTTTGTGACCTGACTTTCTGATTCACCTGCATGATATGAGAGCAACAGTGCCATGTCTTGGCTGAATCGCACCTCGAGGATACTCACATGGTTCTGGCCGACCGGGTGGTTGGGCTGGACTGCAGCTGTATTGCTCAAAGCAAGAAACATGTGATAGTTGGGATGGGTTGCATGCAGTGGACTATTACGCATCGTGAAAGTCTTGAGCCACAAAGCTTCGCAGGAAAACACAGAAGAAACAGCAAACACAAAATGTACAAGGGTGATACAGCGCTGCCTTATGTTTGACTTATATAACTTATGACTCAAGGGGCGACTCAAGGGTTTTGCCCTGATCTTCCCAGTTCCTGATTCATCCCGATTCATCGTCCCAAAAGATGACACCTCCAGAACCTCTTCTGACGCCAAGGAGCGGCTAATCTCCTGCAAAGGGAAATGCTCACAGAACAAACGGCAGAATTTGCCTCACAACATGTTAAGACATAGAATGATCAGAATGTCATAGGGATTCATGGGGATTCATAGGGCATACACAATACATGAACAGCATTAAACAGCCAAATGCCAAGAATGCACGTGGGATTCAGGTAGTCTCAAAGATTCTCAAAGCTGCGCAGGGATTTGGCGCACAATATGCTACAATATGATATACAATATGATACAATATGCATCTCCATTGTGTCTTGCACATCCGGCCTTGATCTCACTACGGATCTTAATGGCACCTTCAAAGTCATCTTGGGCCACTGCTTCCTGACAGGAGGTTGAATAGGCAAGGCATGGCAAGGCTCTTGCATCAGATCACAAGAAACCTCGCCTTCTTCTTCTCTTCCGCTGCATGTAGACGTCTCAAAACGTCTCCATTGGCCTGACCGAAGATGCTTGCTCCAAAGCACAATTTCGAAGTGTTTTTGAATCGTTTCAGAATACACTGTCACATCCCCACACGGCAAGCCATAGCCATGACAATGCCACTGTGTACATTCCATTTCATTTCTTGTCGAGGAACAATGGTGCCATAATGGTGCCATGGAGTGCCATGGAGTGCCATGGAATCCGTTCCGCCGTTACATCCGCATCCGAACCGCATCCGCGCCTGACACTGCAACGCCTCCTCGAAACGGCCCAAGCTGCAAAGGCTTCGAGCTAAAGCTCTTGCCTCAACCGCTTCGCTTCCACCATCACGCTCCTGGGATATCGGAAGGCACTTTCAAGATATCCTTCAACAATAAGATTACATAAGTTATTTGCATAAGTATATACGAAAGAAGTCTTGAATGATGTGCACACGGTATTGATATGGCGACGATACTTCTGCTGCCACCAACATACACTAACCATGTTACAATGTTGCAAACGACATTTCATGGAGATGAACAAGCCGAGTCCGAAAGCGACCAAATGATGTCCAAGGATGGTCTGTTCTGAGGACCACGTGGGTCGTGTTTTGAGTCCCTAGCATCCTCTGTGAAGGGCTCAGGCGTATTGCCTTTCACAGCACAAATACGACAAATACGACAAATACTGCATTAAACATCATTAAACAAAGATATGAAAGGATTGTTTTGGATTGTTCTGGATTGCAGTACTGGATCCTCTGTTGTACCAAGTCGCTATCTCTTGTTCGCTATGAGGGTTCGAACAAGTTTGATCAGGTTTGATGATTGTTCAAGAAACAATGCCGAAGAGGGTGGGCATTGGCGAAGACGAAGAAAGAGGACACAAACCACAAGCAAAAGGCAAATGCATCACCAAGCACAAAAGGATGTACAGATACTTCCCCGCAGTCAACATGCTGTGATCCCCAAACACAATGGCAAATTCCAACAATTCAAATGTTTCCCAAAAATTCAACAGGAGTCGCTTGACAGTCCCAAGAGCAGGCCTTGCTTTGGCGCCTCATCAATGACTTTTGGGCTGAGCGATGGTTTTATGTCTGCCTGCAACATCTTTGTCAACAGATCTCTGCAATCGCAACTGCGCACCTGTTGTACATCCGACAAGCAACTGCTTATTATAGAATTTATACATTACTTTTCGCACAGTTCATGTAAGTACAACTTACAATCACCGTAGTCATGCAAGGCATAAAGGTGCTGTAATTGGATCCACCGCAAGTTCGCAGCTGAGAATGGCCTTTTCTGGATCTGGGGCACCTGGATGACAGTAGCGATTCTTTGCACTTCCAGGCTTTGAGAAATCTTTGAGAATATGATGCAAAACCATGTAAGAATATGTAAGACCTGTAATTCACTGCAATTCTACGTAGCTTGTTCATTCTTTCTAGGGTCTCAACTTGGCAAACTAAAGATACTAAAGTTGAGCTCAACCAGGTTGGCATTCAAACAGGGCCCTCAGTGACTTCGCCCAGCCTCCAGAGGCTGGCTGCGCAGGGAAATCAAACGTCCCGAAGGATGCCCAATCTGCGGCGCGAAATTTCAAAAGCTCTGATGAAAAGTCACTGCAGAGAATTCTATAGGTTGAACGATTTGAATGCGAAGTAACTACTATCACGAGTTCAAAAGAACTGTGACAAAATGATACAAAATGAGTCCATTGTCATGTCTGATATGTCTGCAGAACCTTCACCGCCACCCTGTGGCGCTCCACTTCCTGCATCGAATTGATCTGAAAAATGTATAGAAATGTCGGCAGAAAGCGACATCTGACCACTTTCAGCCTCTTTCAGAAAACTTTTCACCATCGATCCCGAGGCCTCCCTCAAAGGTGTTCCAGCTCTCGAAGGCCACACTTTGGGCTGGCTCCGCTGGATGACTTAACTCGGTTGAGGCAGGTCCTGACCGTTTCCACAAAACATCATTCTACTAACTTGTTTAATCTCTCTTTAATCTTGTTTACATCATTTTACATGTTTCTATATTGCCATAGGCATTGAGCATCTTGACATCAGCGACACAAGTTTTCGGGGTGAAGCTCTATGCAAATCCCGTAGTAATCAGCTGCAATTAGATGTAATGAGTATGTTCAATAGGTCCCAAAAAAAAAACACACATTCCCAGGTAGCGCGAAACTGCGTTGCTTTTCTGCGCCGGACTGAACTCCGCCAGCTGTACCAAATCTCCATGGAGCGCGGACCTTGAGGGGGTTACTTTACCCGCTGCCTGGCGAATGAGATTGGGATCACCATCAAAGATCGACACCATGGGCTTCAGAAGTTGTCGCGCTCGTTCTTTGGGCAATGGTTCCTTCATGTCTTTTCTTTCTTCTGAACCCTCAGGTAGGATGTCATCCAGACTGAGAGGTCGGTGACATCGCTGTGCAAACAGGGTAGCAGCTTCCAAATCACTGAGGGGTGGCAGCTCCACATGCACAGCTTTGACGATGTCTTGGAAAAGGTCCCAGTGTGGGGTACGGCATCCAAGCAACAGGAAGAAGTCGGGCGACTGAAGGTTCTTCCGCAAGACATGCTTGTGGAATGGCAACAGAAGGTCCGCATTGTCCAAGATCAGAAGACCTTTTTGCAACACCTGAACTGTTCCAAAGATGCATCTTCCAGAAAATTTGCGACCGGGTGCCGACACGTATCGAGCAATTTCAACCAGTGTGGCAGTGAGGCCCAAGGATCTCTGGCAGTGCAAAACAACCACCCGCCTCTGGGCAAGGTGCTGCAGCACTGTAAGCATCGTTTCTTCCCGGCCAACAAAATCTTCTACTTGGCCAGGAAGTGCGGCAGCTAGGATCGCTTGCCACTTTGAGGACGTTTCTGAGGATTTCACTTCCATGATCACATCATCAGCAGAATGCAGCTTAAAACCACTGTCAAATCCCTCCGGAAGAGTTGCTTGAACCTCTGCCAGCGCAATACTGAAAGCATTTTTCAATGACCTCTTGCATGCCAGGGCCAGGTAAAAGCTCTTGGCAAAGCGGCTTGCACTTGCATCCGAAACTGCCTTCCCTGTGTACACAATGTGCCTGACCCCAGCTTTGTAAAAGGCTGCCGCAAGCCTCAATGTCACCAAACTTCGTCGTTGAAGTGAAGCATGCTGTGGGGAAACAAATACAGTATCAAAGCAAATGCACAACCATTACAGCACAGGTCAAGTACGAGCCTTTCAAAATCAGTGTTGAAGAAATATATATATATATGTTGAATTCTATTGACAGAAAGACCCGACTTCATGTCAAATCAAGAAGCGCTTCTGACTTGCAGTTGGAAAGGAAGACAAAGGAAGCAGCTGGCGTGTCACCTCCACTTCGTAGTAATCTCTCCAAAGCGTTCAGAGACAGAGCCTGGTGCGGCTTCAAAATCAAATGAAATCATTACCGATAACATAATACACATATGTATTATATATATATATAGATATATATATTTGTTTGCTTTTCCCTTCCCATGATGTCGGATGTCCTGCGCCTTGCAGCAGTCCTCTTTTGAAACTTGGGGCAATCCACGTGTCTCCTCATCGACACATACATCAACATTTCAAATGACCTTGAAGCCAAGAAATACATCAACATACCAAGTGCATTGGCTTACCCCCCGTGTCTCCTCATCGACACGTCCTGAAATTTATAGTCCCCGAATCAACATTGTGGGGTGAGGGGTAAGAGGTGTGGTGGGGGGGCATCTATAAATTTCATTGAGTGAATCACCTCACTCGACCCACCCATCCCTCCCTGAGCCATCATGGCCGTTCGCATGCTCACTCATCGGTTCATCTCAAACAAAGACGGCTGACACTCTGTGACAACCTAGTCTTGTTTGCTTTTCCCTTCCCATGATGTCGGATGTCCTGCGCCTTGCAGCAGTCCTCTTTTGAAACTTGGGGCAATCCACGTGTCTCCTCATCGACACATACATCAACATTTCAAATGACCTTGAAGCCAAGAAATACATCAACATACCAAGTGCATTGGCTTACCCCTTCTTGGACATGCACGACAGAAACGATGAGAGTGAGGGAGGCGGAACATCGACATTTGTTCTCGGAAGCCAAGGTCCTGGCTTCATGCCAGTCAATCGGCAACCTCTCAAAACCTCTTTGGAGGAGATGTTCAGTTACCAGTCGAGAGGGCTCATCAGAACAGTTACTATGAGAGGGCACTCTGGCTATCCATGTGTACATGCCTCTGTGCTGAATTAATCGACTAAGGTTTCTGCGCAAACATCGGTGTCTTTCGACACCGGTCTTCAGGGAAATTAACGATGCTCGGGCGGCCTCATTGTCAACGAAAAGCATTACTCTAACATGTTGGAAAAGGACACTCAAAATCTGTACAGCATACACCGCAGCAAAAAGTTCTAAAGTGGAAATTATCTTGCAAGTGTCAGCTTGCCACGTTCGCATGAGATCATCTGGCACAGAGTCCGAAAAGAAGAAACGTTTTGAGGACACGTTCCCTTCTACAAAGTATGCTACCATTCCCAGGCTGCCATGCATGTCATAGTTCTCCAACGCTGCATCAGTGAAAATGTACAACCTCCGTTCCGACATTCCAGAAAGCAGTTTACGAGGCTGGGAGAAACGAAGGAAATCTTTAATCCAGGCAATTTCGCACAACAACTCCGACGAAACATTAGTGCCGGAAAGTTTGCCATTTGCTCTCAAACCGAACTCCTTCAAGTGGGCCGCAAGAACTCTACCAAAGGTGTGGGTTTCTGCAAATTGAAGTTTTCCCCGGAGCGACGAAGCCTTTGCAGCAGACAGAAATCTCGTGGCCTCGACTTCCTCAAGCTCCGCACATAGTTGCTCAACCCTTGAAGTCTTGTTTTTCACCTGTACTACACCTTCTTGGGAACTGGTAAAATCAAAAGTGACACCCAGTGCATCAAACCGTTTCGCTATGGGAAGCCTCTTGGATTCTTTCATGGACACACGCCACCCAATGAGTTCGAAGAAACGCTCTGCGGTGCACTGTGCGTCATCATTGGATGCTACAATGTCCAACTGAGGGAAGTCATCATAGTAATTCCCCCAAACCAGTCCCAGTAGTCTAACCCCTATGGTATGGCATGCACGAGCTAATCGATTGAAGGCATAGACGCTTGCAGACGCTCCAAATGGCAGAACGTTTGAAATGAACAACTGCTTAGCTCTACACATGTTTTCAACCGCAAGCACTGAGCACCACAGCGAGGACTTCGCAGTGAGCAACTGTTTGTATGCAGCATCAAGGTCCAAAGTACGACCGCATAAATTCATAGCATCAGAAACTTGTAAAGAGTGATGTAGCAAACCTTTCAGAAACTTACCATCACTGAGCTTGAAGCGAATACGGCGGTCTGCTCCAATTCCTTCCAGCCAAGTACGCGCTGTAGTGGACACACCGTCGATGCCCGGCAGGTCTAGTTTATACTGGCTACCATATGCAGAGTTCACAAGGCTCTCCGTCATGTCATCAATGGCACGCACTTTGTCCGACTGTTCCAGACCAAACCGCCTGGATACCACAAACATAGGTCCCAGCTTGTTAATCAGCTCAGTTTCCGTGTAGGGTCCTGAAAGCCATCCACGACCAGCCTCTTCGCACGCACCATCCCAGACTGATTTAATGACTTTGTCGCTCGCCTCGCCTGAAGACTTTCCAAGAATCTTCTTCCTAGTCCAGGTAGCAGACTTCATCAACTGGACATTGCTGATGGAGGGTTCACGAACATCAGGCTCAAACTGAGCGGTGCTTCCACCCGATCCTGTGAGTTTGACACCATTGGCCAACAAATCGCAAAGGCCATCATCTTCCACTCCTGCATCCCGGCACATTTGTTTGAACAGCAGTATTTTCTTATCCCTTATAATGGCCTCTCTTTCCGGATCCAGTTGGTGGTGGATTGTCTGCTCAGCCTCTTCCAAATCATTCCGCATCTCGGCGTACTTGTCCAGGATTTGTTTTCGCTGTTGTGAAACTTCTAGAGGACCTGAAGTAAGAAGCCAGAAAATCGCTCGCTTGATGTCATCTGGAACTGAACTGCAATCATCAAAGGGATGATGTAGCTTTAGTGCTTCCTCTGTGAACTGGTCTGGTGTGCGATAAACTCCAAGCTCAGCAAAATAGCATAATTCATCTGTCGCGGACTCACCCTTCTTGAATGACAGCAATTTGGTTGCAAAAGGCAAAGAAAAATGGGCACGTTCAGAAGTGGACAACATACGAGGGGCTTGCCGCGGCCATTCCAAGGGCCAATGCACTTGCAAGATCTTTGCAAACTCAGGGATCAACTGAGGAAGTAGGTTACCCCTGGGTTGTCGGCCACCTTGCACTGCACGCAGTTTCACCGAAGGCGTTTTGTTAGAGGACGGCTGGTGGGCTGTGACCACCATGTTGCATTCCTGGGCAGCACGCGTAATGATTTCTGATTTTTTTTCGCATAGTTCTGCTGGATATTCGGCCTCTTCTGCAGTATTGAAACGCCATCCTTCTGAGCGACGGTCGACACCCCACGGCAAATGAGCATGGCTGCTGTCACATACTAATGAAAGCGAACTGAAGCCACTGTGGTTTGTGTAAAACGTAGTCCACTTGTCTCGCATTGATCCATGCATACAGGCTTGAAAGGAAATTGGGAAGAGCTTTTTGCGTTTGATCAACTTTCGAAACCAGGACGTAGACCACATGTGAGAGCGTGTCGGGTTCTCAACCGAAATGATACATTCATCAGGCAGCAGTAAAAGAATTTTGCAAATATTGTCATACACATTGTTGGCAATCTGTACCCGTTGTTGATTCACACCAGTTAAAGATGGAAGGCCGTCTGGAAACTTAGTCGATCTCAAAGGCTTGGGATCTGGGACACCACGCCGACGAAGTCTGAGTGGAATCCTGCGCTCCCTGGCTCTGGAGCAAGTGCCAAATGGAGGAGCCACATGCACAAAGAAAATGGCATCATGTGAAGCCACCAAGGATTGAAATTGCTCAACACAATCTGGCGAAGCTAAATCCAGTTGAACAATTGAGTGCTCCTGTTTGTGACGATTCTTCGAGTGGTCAACTGCAAGAACACTGAAACCAGCTTTATGGAGATGTTTGGACAGTCGTGCGCACCCCGCACAAAGTTCCACACAAAGTACTTTAGTGCTAGGACAGCCCTGCAACTCCACATGTTTGCGCTTAACTCCCCGCTGGTCAGAGGGAGTTGCGCGAGGGCATCACTGGTGCTCAAATTGTGGATGCGGCTTTCCGCATCCCCAGCGCATACAACAATGCCAGCCCTTGGGGCAGCGCTCACCGGGCTTCGCCCTGCTGCACCCCTTGATGTTGTAATCGTAGCAGTGAGGTTCTCCTTGAGGATTGGTAGGAGCCATGCCAATCAGTTGAGGAGGCATACGAATCAAATTGGTTTTGCCTCCTTTGCCACGACCTTTGCGTCCTTTGACAGGCGCACTGGGGTTGGCACGCATATTCTTGATCTGACCTTGCAAATTCTCAACAGTTTTCTGGAGTTTGCTGACATCCAGAGAAGGTTTGGGCTTCTTGTCATCTTCGGCAGGGTCGAGCTTGCGCTTGTTTGTGCCTTGCAAAGGTTGGAGGCACAGACGAACTTCTGCAGAATCCATGGCCTTGAGAAGCGCTTGCTCCACTGGTCGAATGCCCCCAAGAGGTTTGATGCCGCTCCGAGTCTCGCGCATCATAGCTTTGAACAGTTGCAAATCAGCACGATGCAACTGCTCCACAGAGACGCGAAGGTAACCTTCTGGAGGTACAGTGCCATAGGCCTCCATCATAGTCTGGGTCCACTTCTCGAAGGCGTTGTAGTCCACCAAACGGGCCTGGTCAAAGGCCAACGAGCGCCTTTGCAGCGCCAGCCGCAACTTCAAATCTGTGTCGGTGTCTGCTTTCAAAGCTTCGGACACCTTCGTTTCTCGGATCAGACCTGAGCTATCCGGTTTCCAAACCGGGTCTGACTTGATGCCCATCAGTTCCTGATCTCGTTTTGTACATTCTTCCCAACGAACATAGCGCAATTGATCTTCTTCGCTCATGTTGTACACAAGGTCGATCAATGCATTCGAGGGCTCCAAGTCACCGGTCATGTCGATGCCACTGAGGCGCTTCTTCTGGTCCTCGTATCGAGAGCTCCTTTCCGCATTGGCTAAACGCCGAGGCATGGCGTCGTCCTTTCGTTCCAGCCTCATTTGCATGTCTGCTGCTGCCAGAGTGTAGCTTTCAAAGAAAAGCCGCCTGACAATCGGCAACCTGGCTGCTGGAGGTGGATCCTGACCAGTGACCTCGGCCGCAAGCTGCTTGAGCAAGGTGTCGTCCTGTTGGCCCGGTGTATAGCTTGTAGCGAAAGCCAGCTTACCGAAAGTATCATACCCCAAAGCCTGCAAGTTCTGAAGCTCTTGCTGATTGGCTCCCAATTTGGCAGCCCTGTCCAGGAAATCAGCGGTGGAGTCCAGCATGGTGCAGGCGGGTACGAGTAACTGCTGGGCCAAGTCTGCATGAATGTGTCCATCAAAGATGTGCACAGCAAAACCTATTGAACGAAATGGATTCGTGACCAAACCTGGTTACCCAACAGTAAAGAGAAAAACTCAACAACATGACATACATGAAAGCGGCAAAATTGGCAAAAGGACAAAACTTACCAGAAAAATAAAGGTTGAGATTCTTCATGTGAAATTCATCAACATAAAGCAGCATGACATGGTTGGCAGCAGGACATCAACATGGCAACTCATCCCTCCCCGGCTGCAACAAACGGTTGCTCCTTGGCCACATCGGCTTCTGCACGCGACATCCGCGGCGATGGCACAGCCTAACATTGTGAGAAATCCACACACCGTTGCAAACAGAGGTGTTCAGTGGCCCTATGACTCACACATCAGAAATTGAACGGCCAATTGCCAAGGTTAGGGAAGAGTTGCACATTACTCATGCGAGCACGGCAAAAAGAATTTTTTCCTGCTTGTTGGCCAACTGCCCCCATGCAAGGTATTTCTACATGCTGCCAAAGCAATTGCGGCAGTGGGGCCATGCTTTCTCAATATCCCCGAAGAACCTAAAATAGGTGCTACCGAGGGCACGGCCACATGCCGTCTTAGATTCAAAGCTGTCATGCCCATAGTGTATCATCTTGGTGCGCTTATGCCTGTATACCATCTCCGTCACGGCACTCTTAGACACTGGTCTGAATGTGGCAAACTCCGAATCGCGCACCACACTTGCCAGTGCACTTTCTGCAGACGAAGAACATGAATCAGAACAATTGGATTCATCACCTGAGCCATCCGTCGCCGGGTCATCTTTGACACGGTCTGCATCTTCATATCCAAAGTTTGAGACTACTTCTGTGGGAGAATCAACCTGCTCCACCACTGGCACTTCTTGCATGAAAGGTTGACCCATCATCTCCCACAACGCTCGCAGCTCCGGATGCGCATCGCCCTCATGAAGGGAGGTGGCTGGAAAACCAAGGAACTTCTCACACAGTTCCTGCAACTCCATGCCCATTGTCTGAAGCATTTGTTCCAAGACACCTTTAGGCTTGGTGTCTCTGCAGAATACTTCATCACGTGGTGCTAGGGGTAAGAACTTTCCTTCTTGCACCTCTTTCAGCATGCCACACATAGTTCTCAAAGGAGCGGACAAGGCACTGCGTTGGTAGTTGATTGCACTGCGATGTTGAGTCAAATGATAACCCAGCAGTTCAGTGTGTGTGTAATCAACTCCATATGTGCCCATGTAGGTAAGCACAGTTGTCTTCAAACTGTGGCTTGTGATCTTGTTCACGGTTTCGGCGGGAAAGGATTTGCCTAGGAGCATCTTCAGCTTCGCAGTGACCTCTGAGGTGCTCACTCTTTCTTGATTTGTGGACTCGCAGGTTTGTTCTGAAGGCATTACCATGAAGGTTCGGTCATCAATTGTAGATTCCAGTGAATGGAACTTGGGAAGGCCGAGACATTCACGGTTGAAAGTGAATGCACTGAACCAATTCAACCCCAGCATGCCTTTGCAAGGCACAACGCAAGGAAGAAAAGTTGATTGCTTCTCTTTTGTTCTCGCGGTCTTGACCCTCATGAGCGAACCTTCAACGAATTCGCCCCTCACCGAAAGGTTGACAATGCGATGCATGTCAGACACTCGCAAACGCCCGTAGATGCACATCAAACAAAATCCAGCCATGCAGCGCAGGTACAAGTTGCGCTCACAGAATGACATGAGTTCCAAAATTGCCAGCATTACTGGATCAAGGGCAGGAGCTTGCTTCAAAGGTCGCTTGGTCAGATACATGGCCAACGCAGCACCAGCAATCCGTGGAGACTCCATGCACTCTGTGGCGCCAGACATTCCCAACAGAGCTTTAACAAAGGCTAATGTACTCAGAAAAGTGGTGCCTCTGGTGGCCGAGCACGCCGCTGTTCGAAGGCTACACATATAATCATAGATGGCTTCTTCTGAAAATGGGAGAAAATCCTCAAAAGGTGAATGCATCCTCAACCAGCGTACATACAGCAGAAGAGAAGAAACACGAAGATTAAGAGTACGGGTAGCTTTTCCCATCAAAGTGTCAGCCAGGATTTGCAAGTGCGCACCTTTTTCTGCATTCTCAACATCGGCTGCCATAATTTGCTTTCCAACTCTGGATTCTTCAGGTGCAAGCAAAACCACTTCCAACCATTTGAGAAGAACCTGGTCTCTTTCGATTTCACGGGATGATCCAGCAGTTTCATGACTTGCATCTCGAATGATGAGCTTCTTGGCCTCAACGGTTATGGTAGACTTAACTGTACCACTTACAGACACAGCCGGAAAGGATCGTGGGATTTTCAAAGGATGCAGCCACGGAAGCTTATCACGGCTGAAAACACTTCGAAGCAAAGGAGTAGACTGCCATGGCATCACTGGCTGTTGGACATGGACACCCATAGATGTCGCAGCTAATAGCGCTGCCTCAACATCAACATGTTGAGATGAAGGGGGAGCTGTGCCAACATTAACATTCACATTTACATCCAATCCCCTCTTCATCTATAAATTTCATTGAGTGAATCACCTCACTCGACCCACCCATCCCTCCCTGAGCCATCATGGCCGTTCGCATGCTCACTCATCGGTTCATCTCAAACAAAGACGGCTGACACTCTGTGACAACCTAGTCATATATAATACATATTATAAAGTATTGTATGGTCACTGAAGGGCAAGTCATCAAACCTCAAGATTTCCGGGCAAAGGTTCAATCAGCAATTAAAGAAGCTGTGCAAAAAGGGCTGTACTTGACTCCGATCAGGCTCAAATTCTAAAACTCTTCAACATGTGCATTCAAAAGCTGTGGCGAGTGCGCCCAAAGCCTGCCTCCGTTCCTCCACAACCATCTTCAAGAACTAGAGCGTTTCCATTCACAGTATGGGCAGACAGATGAAGCCAAAGATTTTCAGCTTCCGTGACAGCTTTTCGCAAATTGTGGATAGAGGCCACGTCAACCTCAACATTCAGTGCCCCAGATAGAGCTTTCTCCACTGCAGAAATCTCCCTCTGGATTCTCAAGCGTGGCAATGGTGCCCAAGCAGGTTCTCCATTCGCTGCGCGTGTCAAGACACAGAGTGGCGAGGCGTGGAGTAGCAACAAACGTGTTGGGTTGGAAACGCTGCGCTCATTCAGATCGTTTCGCCCCTCAACTACCTCAGCTGCAGCAGCCGTTTCAGCTGCTTGTACAAGGTCACTCAACTGAAGCATCCCCCGTCGCGGGCTGGATAGAACACCTGGTCGCATGCGGCACACCATATCGAAATACATTGCCTGCAAACGTCTCACTGCCTTGCTCTCTTCAGACTCATGGAAGTTTGACCCTAAACTGCCATCATCAATGTCGAACAGTTCATCTGCATCGCTGCTCTTCACAAGGTATGCAACACAGGCACTAATCACGCAGAGAAGGGCAAAATCGATGCGTCTCCGAGGAGGCATCATGCCGTTCAGGGCCTCGAAATAAAAGTCCTTCTGACCAGGCCCTGAACTTCCAAGTTTTCCAATTTCACATTCTCCATTGGCATCTGCTGCCACATCTGCATCTGTGTACTCAGACAAATCTGGAAACGAGACCTCCATGTCCTCCGCAGAAAGTCAAAGGAAAAAGTTCAGTCGAAAACACAAACTCCCTGGCCTTCATTCGTTACAAATAAATGCTCAATTGCCTACTGTTGTAGCACTTTTTGGTGATTCGTAGCACGTTTCATTATGTCGCAGGAGGCCTGGGCAATATGCAGAAAGAGATGAAACCAAACATGCAAACTCAGGCAGTTTTCCCTCAAACGAGCAAAAAACATCATTGAAACGATCAAAAATCAAGGTCGATCAGACATGTCTGCTTATTTGAAGGGGTCAAGACAAAAATACCGCCGGATACCGCTGCATTCCCTGCATGACCTCATGGAAGAAAAACTTAGAGGTTTCTCCGGATAGCGGAACCTTTCCATGTCACATCTCTTTGATCGAAATGTCGGTTATATGTTTTACATTGTTTTAAATTTTACATGTTTCCATCTGCTATGTTTTTCTTCAAATACAAGCATGTTCCGTCATTTTCCGCCAAGAATCTTGAGACGTTGGCAAGCCAGAAGACTGAAACTGAGCTCGTAAATTCACATTGTCAGCACAAGTAATGATCGCTCTTTGTGACAGCGCTGATGCCCTCTCGTGCAGATGCCTTGGAAGGATAGCAGGCCCCAAATCAATCTGCAGGTTGTAAAGTTTACTTCGGACAAAGATGACAAGAATGCCTCAAGAATGCAATGAAATGAGAATGCAAGTTGGTAAATTGCTAAGCTGAAACCCGGCATTTGGAAAAGCTCTGAGTCCCTGGCCAAATCCTGCAGAGCATGATGAGAACAACTGCTGTTGCACAAAGGCGACGAAGTGAAGGAGTGCTCAGCCAGGGTCGCAAAATCTGAGGCACCTGGAAAAGCACTAAGAAACGATCCGGGAAAGTCATACGTGGAACAAGTGGAACGAGTGCAACAGCTTCGGCTGGTGTCAAGGTATCAATGATATTCAATGATAGTATGTAATCATATGTCATCAACAAAAAATGTATTGGTCGTAATGAACAGTACAGTAATGAACAGTACCTGCAAAGACCTGCTATTTCAGCTTAGTGGCCAGCCAGTTGTGACACTTGTGGACTCCGGAGACCAAGCGCGTCAGAATGCGAGGCTTAGAACATGCCCGAAGGCAACATCTGCGCACACCCCGCCGCACACCCCAAGGTTGAATCTCAGGTTTCAACTCCTTCGATTCCGTCATCTTATTTCAAGGCCATGGCACGGCAAAGTTCCCAACATTCTGCTGGAAATGGCATGTTTGGTCTGATGAAATCAAATTAAAATTGCTACCTAAAGGTCTTTCCTGTGTGCGAATATACGAACAACATCAAACAACTATGCAAAGGTATGTGCATACCCATAGAGCTATGTCTATGCACTATCCGTAACGTATTTGTAGGCCGTATACAGCTATATACTACTTATAAGTCATATAAAACAAGTTATAACATTATATGATTGTGGCTCTTGTGTTTGTGTACAGTGTAATCACACATCACATGATGCCGACTTCGAAGATACTGCAGATCTCTCATTTCGTGCAAAGGGCTTCGGAGTCCAGCAACTGTGATATTGGTTGGATCATTTTCAATGCCCCTTGACTCTTGAAATCTGTCAAGCACCGAAAGATCCGAAAGGAAAGTCTGATCATGGCCTGGCTCAGGGAATGCGGCCCAAACCTCATAGTCTTTGATCAGCCATCTTTAAAGGCATTTGATGCACAAAGCATGTTCATTGAAAACGAGTCGTCAGTCTCTCACAAAACAACTCTTGGAAGTGTGCTGCAATGCAGCACGTCAACACTACAGCTGTTTTGAACAAATGTCAGTAGACTATAGTAGACTGCCTTCAAATTTTAGAAGGCCGCCGAAGGCCCGGTGTTTTTGTCTCGGCACATGGCATCAGCAAGACCACTAGTGGAACTGGCAGGTACTGCAGGCATTGCCACCTCAGCAGACCCATATGACTTTCTGTACCTTGAATGTTGCTGAAAGGAAATTGTTTTGGGCTGACTAGAGCGTGTGTGTGTGTATATATATATATATTCGTATAGATATATTATTAGTTATCATTATTATCATTGTCATTATTATGATTATTATTATTGTTATTACTTAGTATTATCATTATCGAAGGAAGTTTAGAAGTCAAACTTCCGACAATATGGAGAGATGAAAAGCAGAGCAGGGCAGAGGCAAAGAGAAGAGGAAGATTAGAAGAGAGAAGATCAGAAGAGAAAGAGTAAGAAGACAGAAGATACAGATGCGCGAAAAGGTAGGAAAGTCGCGAAACACTGTGTTTTTCCAATGATTTGTGGCTCCGGAGGGTCGAAAAGTAGGCTCACTAAAGCGGCGGGTGCGGAGCCAGTTGGCCACAGGAGCGATGAAAAATTGCACGCCGTTGTGGCGCGAAGCACATTTCGAAGTCAAATGTGTTAAAAACTGGCGGTCTCGGACCACTTTTGGAAGTTGAGATGTCAAAAAAGTGCACGCCGTTGTGGCGCGAAGCACAGTTTGAAGTCAAAATGTACAAAACACACCATTGTCGGACCACTTTTGGAAGTTGAGATGTCGAAAAAGTGCACGC